TCTTCTGGTCTCATAGTCGTATAGGCTGCAGATCGGATGGTGTACCAGTTGCTAGCACTAATTGTTTCCATGAATTTTGGTTTTCTTCATTCTTCTTTGTTCTGGACAAGGAGAGACCCATCGTTGCATCTAGATGGCAGCTTGCTAACTTTTAAGATCCCAGTCGCTACTCACCAAAGTAGGAGGTGGAACAATGTTTTGTATAGTATGTTATGCCAATTGAGCTTGATGTCCCCTTAAAAGCAGTAGTAGTTTAAATACTTGTCTAACTTCATGGGGGGATAATGCAAATCAAGATCCCTATGAGGTGGTAGTCAAACATACCTCTACTCTCTAACCTTTTTACCAATTCTGACATCAGCTATCCCTCCCATGGCACTCTCTACTTCTCTGCTGGGTTCAATAATCCATTGTAATGGCCACACAGAACTCACAGACTATACTACAATTAAGTGGTTTATTAAGGAACATGGTACAAATCAGGACCAGGATCAACAAGCTACAACTCAGGAACCAAGATCAGGACACATGTAGGTAGTCTCCCTTCTTGAGTGCAGGACAGCTCTCTCAACTCTTCTTTGCCATGCAGGCCTCCTCCTGGCCTCCTGAGAACAGGCTCCTCTTGGCTCTGCCATTTGTTACCATCATAGGTAGGTTCTTCATTGTCTCAGTGTTATAGGCCCTAACTAGTGTTACAGCTCTTTTAGAAGGTGCCTTGCCTCCTCTCTCTGCTTCTCCTTTCTGCATTTTTCCTTCTGCTGCTTCACTTCTTACTTCTTTCTGATGTTTTTCCTGATGCTTCTCTTCATACATTTTTCAGCCAGAAAAACCTATGGGGAGACTGCATATATATACAAACTTTGCATCAATTTCAAGGCATGACTTTCCCACCAGGACCATGAACTGAGCAATCCCCTCTTGGTAGGTCATAGACACTTCATTTGCATAGTAGGCACAGCTGTGCTACCACTCACCTCATTTGCATATTTTATTGACCAATCCCTGCAAGGGGCATACCAATCACAAGGCAGGCTGAAGCTTGGACCAAACAAAAAGTATCAAAACCAACTTGTTTACACCTTACCCAGGAAGTGTTAATCAACTTAGAGAAAAATAACAAACCTTCTGGGGTAGGGCAAAGGGTTTAGGGGAACTTTTTCTCAAGCTGAAAAAAAAAAGAAAGTTTCCTTAGTGTAGGGAAAGATTTGTGTAATATTCAATGATATGAGTGATCCCTATATTAGGTTCACTGTGCTACTAGGAAGGAATGTTGGTGGTGCAGTGGTTAAGTGCTCAGATGGTACTCAAAATGGTGGTCCAATCCCACCACCCGATCTGTAGACAGAAGATGTGGCAGTTTGCTTCTTTAGAAAGATTTTCAGCCTTGGAAACCCTATGAGGCAGTTCTATTCTGTCCTATAGCATTGCTATGAGACAGAATCAACTTGATGGCAAGCTTTGTGCTACTAGAGTTGTATGTCACCAGCCATACTATTGTTACCAACTGTGGGGGAATTTTTGAGGTCATGAGGCCAGGTACTTCATAACAGAAAAGTTAAATACAAATAATATATAGAGAAATAAGAAACAGATAGACTCCTTCCCCCATACAGAGGTGCTTAGGACACCATGGAGGAGCTCTGGTAGTGTAGTGCCTAAGGCACCTGACTGCTAACCAGAAGGCTGGCAATTCAAACCCACCAGCCAGGTCTGACTCGATGGCACACAACAACAACAACAACAGGACATCATGGTACCTGTTGTTGTTGTTGTTGTTGTGTGCTGTCCAGTCAGACCTGACTCATAGAGACCCTGCCTTGGGTTTCCAAGGCAGTATCACTATGGAAGTAGATTGGCCAACCTTCCTTCTGAGGAGTGGCCGGTGGGTTTGAACTGCCAGCCTTCTGGTTAGCAGTCAAGTGCCTTAGGCACTACACTATCAGAGCTCCTAAAACTCTTGTTGTTGTTCTTGTTGTTGTTGTTATGTGCCGTCAAGTTGGATCCAACTCATAGCGACCCCTCCTTGGGTTTCCAAAGCAGTATCACTACGGAAGTAGATTGCCCCATCTTCCTTCCGAGGATTGGCTAGTGGGTTTGAACCACCAGCCTTCTGGTTAG